TCATTCTTGGACCTGTCTCAGGGACTTGTATGCTACACATTCTTATACATATCAATAATTTCTGTATACATGTTCAGATTATTTTGACAAATAATTAAAGTAATGAAATGGGAGAAAAATCACATGTGTCATGATTCTTGACATTAATTGTTGTCACTTATAACATCATTAGTATTATTAAAATTAAATATTTTATATATTATGGAAATGTGTAATCTGAAAATTAAAGGTTTCTCATAATTCTGCCTCTCAAAGGTAATCACTGCTAATGTTTGGATGTATACACATGAGATCATACTATATACTATTTTGAGACTTGACTTTTCACATAGAAATATATCCTACAAGTGTGTGTGTGTGAGACTGTGTGTGTATGCATGTGATATATCTCATTTCTTTGAATGGCTTTTGTATTTCATTGTAAGTAACTAAACATTTGGGTTGTTTCCAATTTCTGGCTGTTACAAACAATGTTATAATAAACATTCTTGTTATAATGCAAATATCTTTGGGCAATTGTGCAAGTGTTTTAGCAAAATTGATTCCTATGATTGGAATTTCTGACTTGAATAGCATAGACATTTTCTGTTTTAATAGAGTTTACCAAATTGCCTTTGAACAAGTTGTGCCAATTTACAATGACTTACTTGAACAATATATGGCCACGCTTGGGTTCCCACAACTCAGTACACAGGGTGTTTTCAATCTTTAAAATGTGCTGATCTGATAAGTGAAAGTAAATACCATTGTTAACTGAATTTGCATTTGCTCATTATTAAAATTGAGCATCTTTTTTACATCTGGCTTTGGCCATGTGAAATTTCTCCTCTGAGAACTGTTGTGTGTTTTACTCATTTTTTTCAAAGTTCCATCAACTCTTCTTCCTTAATTTGTAAAAGATCTGAATACTAAAGAAAGTAGCTGTTTGGCTATCAGTTCTGTACCTTCCAATTCTCAGTTGCCAAAGTGAGCTTTCTAGTGCCCAGATTTAATCATTTCTATTTGCTGCTGAATACCTGTCAATTTGTTTGCGGATATAACCCAAACATTCCAGTGTGGTATACAGTACCTCTGTCTACTCATTTATCCTGATTTTGTATTACTTTCATTCACTACCTTCCCTCCAGTCCTTACGAAACTCCTGTGTTCCCCAAACAAGCCACATTCTTTCTACTCTGTGCTTGCACACCCTCTCCCTGCCTGGACTGCCCTCCCCCACTCTAGGGTCAGGTGTCATCTCCTTTGTGACATCTACTTTAAGCCTCTGCTCCATTCGGCATCAGGTGTCCTTCCTTCATCAGAATTCCATCACTAGATTCTCAGGATATACTAGACTATTAAAATCACCTGCTCATTGACATCTCTTCTCCACTAAATAAGAAGCCTCCTCAGGATAGCGTCTATTTCTTTATTCCAAGAACTCATCATTGAATCTATTACATAATACATTCTTAATTCATGTTTGCTGAGCAAATGAATCAAACAAAAGTGACACCAACTAGGATTATTTTGTATCAATCATCTGGTCAAATAGATTTCAATCTTAATTCTGGCCTTTTCCAGCTTCTAGAAGCCACCTGAATTCTTCAGGTAAGGGACCCCTCCCTCCATCTTTAAAAACAGCAATGTAGCATCTTCCCATCTCTCTGACCACTGCTATTATCCTTACATTCTCTCTCTCTGATTCTAACTCTTATGTCTCCACCTTATAAGGTTCTCCGGGGTTGCATTGGGCCCACCAAGATAATCCAGGACAATTTCCCCATCTCAGAATAATTAACTTCCTCATATCTGCAAAGTTGCAAAGTGCCTTTAGGCTATATATTCACAAATTCCAGGGATACATGTTCAGGTTATTTGGGATGTTAACATCTTGGTGTTGGTGGTTGGAGGGGGGCGGGGGGAAGGTTGGAATATTATTCAGCTTACCATGCCTCCTCTTGAAAGTTTTTCTGACTTCTTGTATTGGAATTAGTTTCTCTTTCTCTGGATCCCATGGGAATTTTTAGAACAACTTTGAAATTTGGGATTAATTTTTCTACCTTCACTGTTACTTTCTTGGTGGCGAAATTATGTATTTAATCTGGGCAGTCAGATCATCCTAAATCTGGAACTAGGACTTCCTTGGTTTCGTCCTTTGTAAAGGAGAAGTGTATTGCTAGGTGGATAAGAGAACAGATGGAGGGTCAAGATTCCTCATCCAAACCTCTGCTCTAGCAGATACTAGTAAGAAATAGCACCAATTTCTCAATTTCTTCATCTGAAACATAGAAATAATTATAATATTTACTACATACACTTATTGTATTAATAAGAGAACAAATGTAAATTACTTAAAACAGTGTCCTAGCTGGTTTGGCTCAGTGGATAGAGTGTCAGCCTGCAGACAGAAGGGTCCCAGGTTTGATTCCAGCCAAAAGCACATGCCAGGGTTGCGAGTCAAACCCCAGTAGGGGATGTGCAGGAGGCACCCGATTAATGATTCTCTCTCATCACTGATGCTTCTATCTCACTCTCCCTGTCCTTTCCTCTCTGAAAAAAAAAAGTTAAGGAGAACCAAGATGGTGGCGTAAGGTACAGACCTGTGCGTGCTGCCTCCCACAACAACATCGAAAATACCAACTATAAGACAAAACAGCTATCATTCAGAACATGGGAAAGCTGGCCCAGTGGAAGTTCTACAACTGGAAGGAAAGAAAGAAGAGCATTGAGACTGAGTAGGATATGCAGAGGCGCCAAGAACAGAGGTACGGAGTCGCGTGCCAGGCAGGCTGCATCTGGATGCGCGGTTTTTTTCAATCGAAAGGGGTTACAAACTCTCAAATCCACTGAGCTTGTTTGGGGCAGGATTCTGAGGTCCCAGACCCCTACGGGGAGAGGAGGGACAGCCTTGAAGTGGGTCGGAAAGCGAGAATGGCTTTCTCGCGGAGCTGCTCGCCGGCACTCGGGACACGGAGACTCGGAGACGCGGAGACGGAGACGCGGAGACGCGAGAGCGAGGAGTCATGGAGATGCCATTGCTGTTTGCTCTGCCCTGGTGACTCCCTGAGACCCCGCCCTACTCAATTTACATCCCCGCCCAAGCCTGTGCCAGTGGCACAAAAGGAACCACCTGCTCTTTTGCAGCTTAACCCAACAAACTGCAGATTTCAACTCCTCGCACCCATAAGGTACACACTCAAGAAGCAGAATCAGGTTCAGAGGAAGCCAGAACCGGACCCGGCTGGGCCGGCAACATGGAACCGCTGTACCAGCAAACGCACAAACAGGTCCACCAGATCCAGTCTCACATGGGACACCGGGAGACGGCAGACAAGCAGTCTGTGCACTTAGTAGAAAACAAAATCCAAGCAAGCATACCAGATATTCAGCCAACAAGAACGCCTGGAGATTTTGTCCAGCAAGGAGCCGCCCAACAAAAGACAGAATAACAAACTTCGTGTTGACCAGTTAAAGTATGATGTCCAGCACCTGCATACTGCTCTCAGAAACTTCCAACATTGGTGATACGCAAGGGAGCAGCAGAGAGACAGCGAGAGGAGCTTCTGTCTCGCACCTTCACCCCCAACATGGGCTGTGGCGCCCCCTGCAAGGCTGAGATGGCCCCTGTGAGGCTGAGACAGTCCCTTTGAGGCTGAGACGGTCCCTGTGAGGCTGAGACGGTCCCTGTGAGGCTGAGATGGTCCCTGTGTGGCCAAACACAGGGACACGTCGTGGATGGAAATAGCTACATTTTCCATGTGTTTGACCCGGCAACAAAAAGCGTACACCTATGGATGAGGACAGTGGGGGGGTAAGGGCAGAGGGTGGGGTGGGAACTGGGTGGAGGGGAGCTATGGGGGGAAAAAGAGGGAACAACTGTAATAATCTGAACAATAAAGATTTATTTTAAAAAAAGTTTTAAAAAATTACTTAAAACAGTGATTGGCATATAATATTCACTCAAAACGGTTATTATTTCCCATTTGAGAGATTATTATAAGAGTTAAATAGAGTAGAAAGTGCCACAATACAATGCAGGGCACACTGTAAATTCTCAATACACTCTAGATTTTTTTTAAAATATTTTTTATGGATTTTTAGAGAGATGGGAAGGGAGAGGAAGAGAGAGAGAACACAACATTAATGTGAGAGTGGAACATTAATTGGCAGCCTCCTACCGGGGGTCGAGCTTGCAACCTGGGCATGTGCCCTGACCAGAAACTGAACCATCAAACTTTTGGTGCACAGAGCAATGCCCAACCAACTGAGCCACACCAGCTCTAGCTTTTGATTGATCATCATCTGTATTACATACAACAGGTTAAAGACATCAAATAGAGTGAAGCAATGTGGAGTTTAGTGAAATGTATTCAACTTTGTGACAATAATCTGAATTATTTCAGGCTCTCTTATTCTTAAACTTAGTATGGTCACAGGGTTAAAAGATATGAAAGGTCAATAATGTTGTGACAGATGGATCTTATTAGTTTCGATGATAAAGTAAAGATAACTCCAGGCCTTTAAATATTAGTGTTTTCAAATATATTATCTAATGGAGCCCGGTTGTGACAATGTCAACTCCAGGCAATATCTAGCAATCTAATGGCTATTTGGTTATTTAGGTTTTTCTAGATTATTATCATCATCCTTGTTATATAATTGCCTTTGTGTCCTTTATATCATAGGGTAGTCAGGTGTTACTCATTTGTTTCCAAGGCAAATTGAGTCATTCCACTCAAATGTTTACAGTAAGTAGAATAGAAACTTGTAGAATCATCTTCCTCTCTCATAAATGAAGCAACAGCAAAGTGGTACAGCATCTCAATTTTCAAGTTCCTCAAACAAGTTTTACTTTTGCAAAACGAACTTCTAACTTCCCACATTCCGTGAGCTGTGTTATAGTCAACATGACTTGCAGCCACGTTTGTTGTAATTTTTTAAATATGTGGAAAAAAAGAAAGATATCGACCATGTATTACCTTAACCAAGATGCCAAATTATCTAACTTGTTTCTCCAGGCAAGCAGCCCAACCACAGGAACAGCTCCCAGGAGCCAGTCAAGATTGTCTGTCTGTCCATCCACTCAGGACATCTGTAGGTAAGTGCTCAGCAAATGATTCTACTCAATGTTTTTCAGACCAGTGTTTTGTATTCTTGTTTTACATTCTGACTGTGTGGCTCTTGCTTCTGCCTATGTTGGCCATGGATAATTTATACTGGCCTAATTTTTTTTCCTTTAGTGAATTTCTTTATTTGATCTTTATTTACCAACTTTTGGTCCATGCTATCATTTTCATTGTGTTCTCTCTCTCTCTCTCTCTCTCTCTCTCTCTCTCTCTCTCTCTCTTTTCTCTTTTTTCCCATGCCTTTCTGTCCATTCCCATTTTCCATTCTTTGCCCACTGCTTTGTCTAGATCTACCATCTTGCATGACATGTCAGAAGATGGTTTTGAGCAATGCACCCCTGTCTGGTGCTGAGCCTTGCTAGAAAGGAGTCTGGTAAGAAATCAGTAAAACAGAGACCTAGGAGGAGGAGTAGGGCCTCTGAGAGATAAGAGTGTGCAGACTAACGAATATAAGGGAGAATAAATGATTTTCAACTCCGGATCTCACACCCCAGGTGGAGTGAGCTTCACTCAGATTCCTCAGATTCATCTCCCCTAGATGAGAGTCCTTGGATGCAGGCAAAAAGAAGAGCCCAAGTGAAATTCCAACTGTTGCGAAGGAGAAATAATAATGAATCACGTGGAAGCTTGGATGGGTCTTCTGCTCCTAATGGAATTGATCTGGTAAATTTGGGATCCAAAGATAAAAAGCAACAAGAACTGACTGAATGTGGGAGTTGCTCTTTAAACCTCTGCAGAGGAAAAGGCCCCTGGTACCAAGAATGCAGTCTTCCCCTGCCTAGAGGACCCTATGAGTTTGAGAGATCCTCAAGGCACCACGAAGAAAGCAAAGGCAGATACCACCACAGGGATCCACAGCTCTTGCATAGTCATAGGAAAAATGAGACAATCAAGAAAAGATGTTCAGACACAGATTTCAGCACTGAAATAGTGGCAGTACCAGAAGGCGGCAAGTCTATGAGTGATGCAGGGTTCCAGGTGAATAACTCTGTTCAGAAGCCTCCTGCCAGCTACCATGACGGGTCTGATAATTTAAAACTATGCAGGTCAGTCACTATAGAGAAAGACTAGATGCCATGCAAATGTACTTCTTTCTGCTGTGAGCTATGTGTGTGTTTGACACTTACCCTTAACGCATAACATTTATCCATGCTGTTGTCTGATGGATATAAGGTGGTAAAATGAGAAAAGGTGCATCTGAGAAGAACAATAGAATTAGATTTCCCCTTTTTCCTTTTTGTTAATTGAATAATGGTTTGTCCTAGTAAAGGGACTGACAAATCAGTTAGTCTTGTACCCATTCTAGTTAAGACAATACTAATAGAGGGAATATGAGTGAGAGCATAGGAAACCTTAGATTCTTCAATGTATATCTGGTGAACTATTAGCACCCTGACAGAAAAGATATTCAAGGTAAGGGGTTTTTAAGGTCAGAATTTTGTATCAGAAAAATCTCCTCCACAGTTGCTACTAATTTGCTCTCTAGTTGTTTCATTCAGCGGGGCAATTTAAGACTGAAAAGGACACAAAAACAGGTCCTGGACATACCAGTGCGGTTGCTGGAGCCTTCAGGGAAGGCGACCACATTAACTGTACTGAAAGGTCTCAAACATGCAGGCATTTCATAGCTGCAAAGCTGCTTTCTTGCACTTTTTACCCAACTGTACACATTTTCATCATTTATTCATTTAAGCCTCCATTGTGCATCAGGATTTATTCTAGGTTTGAAAATATCATAATGCCTGAGATTTGTATAGTCTCTGACATCATAACTTACAGTCAGAGGAGGATAGCAGATACAAAACTCTTTCATAGTTTTATATAATTATGATTGTGATTAGGAATATGATAATACAACAAAGAAGTTTTCATTATTCTGGGGATCAGAAAGAACTCTCTTAAGGAAGTGACAAGCTGACCATGGCTCGAAGGCTGACAGGAGTTGATCAAGGAAAGAAACCAAGGAGACCGTCCAGAGAGAATGCCACCAGGAAGCCAGGATGAGGGGAGGAGTTTAGCAATCCAGGAAACTGAACGCTGGCTGTCCTGGCCTGTGGGTGGTGGGTGAGGGGCATGGGTGGTAGTGATGAGAACTGAGAGGTGGAGAGAGGCATGCAAAACATGCTAAGGGATTTAAAGAGAAATGACATCATTTGATTTGTATGTTAATGAGAGTTTCTTGTAATCTTTTGAATATGATTTAAGTGTGGTTTAACTAAAATGTTGGGGGATAGAATAAAACACTCTTTCCAGTCTAGACTAAGAATTCCCACTTGCAACCATCTGTTGCCATTTTCCCAAACCTCCTTCCAACATAATTTAATGAAAGACAGTCAAAGAAGCTGGTTGTAGGCTTAATGGTAATTGGAGAAAAAAGTAATGCTTGCAATTAAAGTCATAGTGGCTGGTTCTCCTAACTTAAAAGCACTGCTCTGGAGGGACATTTTCAAAGACAGGATATTTCACTTAGATTTCTATTAATGAAAGTGAGATCGATGGGCCTATTTTCTTGCTGTGAGTTATCATCAAAATATACCCACTAAGCAAATACTAAGGACAGCATATTGTACTAGATGCTGAGGCTAAAAAGTGACAAAAGATGTGATTCTTCCCTTAAGTGGCCTATTATCTATTAGGAGAAATTGAACACACACCTGAAAAGATGAAAGTTCAAGGCAGTTCAGGGCGAATTTAAGAAGAGGAATACTGCAAGCATTTGAAGAAAGAAAACTTGCTGAGAGCTGGAACAATCTGGAAACCCCTTAGGAGGGGGGATTATTGGGACTGAGAAAAGTAGAATTTAGTTTGGCAGAGATGTATGGGTGGCATTCCAGGCACTCAAGCCAGGGAAAATACCATGGGCCCAGACTGGGATGCAGGAATGACACTATGCACTTAAAAATTTTGTGTGAATTTTTGTAACTAGTTTGGAAGCTTTGCATAGATTGATAACAACTAAATTTTTTAAGAGACGTTATAAACAAAATATGCATATGCTTACAAGGAGTTTAATTCTATTCTGTAGTCTTATTTTCAAACTGCCTCTTGGTGCCAAAGAGGCCGCCTCGAAAGTTGAGGACAGATTAAGAGGATTGTGCTTCCTTTAGCCCATCTTCAACCAGAGAAGTTTCATGATAATCTCTCTTATATAATGGGGTTTCACATAGTATTCCTTTAAGGAGAAAAGAAGATTCCACTGCAAAAGATAATACAGAACAGCCTTTGCTAAATAAAATAGTCTCAATGAAGAACAACATACACAGAGTAGTCACAGTGTCCTGAGGGTGTCCTGGGAAAGGAACCTAGATGTAGGAGAATGAGTTGGGATGAGGTAGACGTATGATTGTACTTTGAGATAACTAGGACTAGGATGATACAGGGTAATGAAAGGGGGGTAACATTGGCATATTGGCATTCCACCAGGTGTATAGAAACAATCTAAATGCTTTGGCATTGGTGAGAGCATAAGACAAAGGCACCAATGATGATGACTCCAAATCTTAGAACTTAGGAGACAATAAATGCTGATGATATTGGCAAAGGCAGAAGAGGTAGAGGGAAGCTGGTTTGGGAAAGACATGATGAGTTCAATTACAGGCAGACTATTTGTTATTGCAGTGACATTCAAGGGTCAGCTGTCAGACAGTGTGAGACATGTCACTGAAACACAGGAGAGCAGTCAGGGCTGGGTCTGTGTACTTGTTCAAGCATCAGTGAGCTATACACAGACCAACACTGAACAATCGCATTTTTGCAATTGTCATTAATATGACGTATTAGCACAGGGCAACAGCACAAAGATATTAAAAATGAAAATATAATTATGGTCATAAAGGACATATATATTCTCAGGAAGGTGACGGGGATGCCAGGAAAGTGAATGAAATCTTTAAATAAGGTCATATTTAGGGGGAAAGCCTCTAAATGGACACAGCCTGAGCACCAGCGTCCCCTGTGAAGGGGAGAAAGATGACCCCTGAAAGGAGCAGCAATTGCCTTGAACTTGCAGTCCAGCTTCAGAAATGCATAGGCAGGACCAGTCTCAGCCACAACCACAAAGCAGAAGCTTCTGAGCCCTTCCTCCTTCTCTGTTCCGAGCACTGAGTCCCCACGAGGACACTCTGCTCCTTTCCACCTCATCAAAGCCTTATTTAGAGAAAGTTTCTCTTAGCCAGTTATAACTTGCAGGAAATTTAAATCATCACAGTTGTGCAATGGGAGAAGCTTTTCCTTTTTTAATAGAAAAATTTACATTTAGAAAAAAACATGAGTTAGCTCATGTTAGCTCATGCTTGAAACTTTTTAATGGCCTCTTAATAGCCCTTGGTGGCAAGTTCAAAATCTTTAATATAATTTACAAGTCCTGCATGATCTCTCAGATCTGCCTCCCCAGCTTCAATGCCCATCATTGACAATGGCCTATTCATGCTGGTCTGTCTTCAATTCCCTGGAAGTGGCCAGACCTGTCTCTTTTAGGGCCTAGAATGCCTACACATTATCCCCTCTGCCCTTCACCAGACTGACTCCTAGTCATCCTTTCCTGATTTAAGTGTCATTTCTTTAGGGATGCCTTCACAATGCTCTAGCCAATATTCAGGTCACCTGGGAGTCAATTTCATAGCATAATTTTAAATTGCTAATGTATAGATATTTTTGTGATTGACTGTATCAGGTTTGTTCATGGCAGTGTTCACAGTGCGTCAAAGATAGCACACACTCAACACAGTTTTTGAATGAATAAGTTTAGGGCTAATGAATTTTTCTAAGGGAGTCATTCTTACTGTGTGAAATCATAGCATTAAGGTGTGGATTACCTCACCTATGGAGCCAACATGTATACTCTACACAGAATACTCCACACCAGCAGTTCTCAAACCTTAGTGACATCAGTTGACTACAGGGCTTGTCAAAATACAGATTGTTGGATGTACCCCCAAAGTTTCTGATTCACTTACTTTGGGGTTGAGCCCAT